ATGTCCTAGGTTACTCATTATGAAAGTCTATGAATTATTTGACAGTACAAATTCACTGGCTAAAATCGTCCTTGCTGCTCAGCTTCCCCCTTCAGCCTACACTTCTGTGTGAGGTTCTAGTGCAGCTCCTCTATTCCAAGTCAGCCATTGAATGTTAATACTTCAGCATTAATGCAAAATGTAGAATTTCTTTATAATACAGAAAGACTTGTACGCTTCAAGTAGAAATTGATAGGGCTAGTTAGATAGTGCTTGTATTGATGTTTAACAAAGCTCAGCCTGAAGGGAAAAAAAAAAGACCAAAGTGAATAAAAGATATTAAAGGTATTACGGATAATATGCAAGGGCACTGTGGCTTTTATTGTGAAGCTGGGTCATTATGCAATGAGAATAAAAAAGAGGAAGAGAAGATATGCCCAAGATTATCCCCAAGGGTAATGATGCAGGGATGTAAAGATGAGAAGGAGAGTGAGGAGGAGGCTGAGACAGAAAGAGACAATTGCAGCAGAAAACAGTGGATAGGAGAGAGGGCGAAGAAAAGTGAGAAATATATAAAAAACATGGAAAAAATGTTCATAGATACAGAGAGATAATGAGGGAAATACTGGAGTACTAGAGGGGTAGTGAAGCAAAGCGGGAGAGGAAAGAGAGAAGATGGAGGGAGGTGGAGAAACAACGAGCTGGGTCCAAAGAACAAAAGAGAGGGAGATTGAAGAAGCTATAAAAATTGTGCATTGCTGCATTGAAAAAAATACACAAAGAAGGAGAGGAAACGAGGACGGAAAGAGTCAGACTGTATTAAAAGAGGTGGGCTAGTCAAAGTTAAACAGGATGAACTTGGAAACCCTGACAAGGAAAAAGAAAAAGTGATTTGAGGAAAATGTAGAGAGGCTAAAAAAAAAGAGCAACACATAAAGGAAATATAAATGTAGAGAAACTGACCACATGTGAGAAGAAATGCACAGGGAGTTTGAAAATGGAGAAAATGTTAGAGGAGAGAGAGACAGAGGTGTGTGTATGCTGGTGGAGGCAGCGGGTTGGTGGGGTATCCCGTAGGGTTAATTACATCTCTGTTCTCTGTCTGTACAGCTCTCACTTCTCTGATCTGAATCCCTGCTTCAAGCTGACAAACTGCAGACACACGTATTCAATCCCAAATATGCACACAAATCTACTCCAGGCAGCCACAACTTTAAACCCACTGACGGGTGAAGTTAAAATCTAATGTTCGGCATTGAACTGTGAGAGTCCTTGAATACATTTGGATAAAACACTGACGTGTGTTACCTACCACTGGCATTGTTGCGAGCAAAAACCCTTCATGTGATTGCACTGGCCAGTGGTTCTGGCCTCTTCCAACACAACGTTGTGCCCAGCCTCAATGCAAATGCTGCTCTGGAGCACAGATATTAAAGGTATTAACCCAGCCTCCAAAACAAAAACCACAAATGCACACTGCAATTCAAAAGCTGCAGGATCCACTGCTAACTTTCCACTATAGACACTGACAGTCCTGGAGGTCTTAAGTTATTGCCCTGACTGATCAGAACTGTGCTGGTAACAGACCGCACAACATCATACAGGTGGTTTTAATGTTGTGGCTGATCAGTGTATACCCACGCAGTCATACCCACACATTCATGCATTTCACAGCACACAAACAGAAATGTTTGTTGTCTCCTCCTTCATATCTTTCTGTCACTACTTCTCTCTTTCTCTCTCCTACACAGTTACACACAGATTAAACACATCACAGCCAGTCCCGTGAGAACATGTGTTGTTCTGTACAGAGTTCTACACGAAGATGAGGGCCTTTGCTCATAATAGCTGTTAATTTTGCATAAATCATGCATAACATGACCCACATGTAAATCACTCAAGTTAGCAGGCACAACCCAGCAGCTCCTTCTTTTTCCACTCAGAAAGAGAAGCAGCTCCCACGTTCGTAGTTTTATTTTAAGGTATTCTGTTTGACTTTCACTTTTTAAGATTAAAGACCTAAGAATGCACGTTTTTACAGCCGGGGAACATTATCACCTTTTTTTCGTTTTTCAAAGACCAGGTGTGAAAAAATGTGTTTCAATCAGGAGAACTATAGACAAAGAAGATTGCTGTTTTCCTTTTCATTTATTTTTACTTGGTGGAATACCTCTTCATACAAGGGAAAAGGAAAAAGACAGAGAGCAGTGATAAGACCCCAAGTACAGAAAAAGGCAAGAACAACATGGATTAGATTAGCTATAACATGAAAATTAGGAGATAGATTCAAGGTGGGTCTCTGGGTGGCTTGCAGCAGTTGTTTAAGGATACTACATATGGCTTGCAAGAACTAACATTAGAATGGATATTTTTGCCTCTGTGCCAGGGTTGTTTAACATATCAGAAGAAATAAAATCCATTAACATTCTATATTAATGTAATAAATCATACTGTATATAAAAGTAGATATGCTTTAATTATTTTATTGACCCGCTAGTGGATTGTTTTATCTCACCGTTCTAATAATATGCAGTAAAAGTAAACAAACTTTTAAACAAACTCTTAATCTTCTGTTATGTAGTGTATGTGATACTGCATGACTCCTTGCACGCACACACACATATATATTTTTCCTTTTATTTGTGCTGGAGCGACTGCTTTCCTGTATGTTCTTTTTTACTCTCCCTTTTGGCAACCTTACAAGATGTGTTGAACTTGTGTTGAACTGTGAGTGATCCATGTGTGCACGGTGAGTGATAACAAGAGAGTGGTCGAGTTGAATGCACTGAAAATGCAGCACAGCTTCCATATTCTGTGTGTTGCATTTTGATTGATTGTGCAGAAATCTAAGGGTGTTATTGTATCTTTCCCAGTAGATTAATGAGAATTTTAGGGGCTGAAAGTCGAAAGCAGCTTGGATTTTAACTAATGACTGAACTAATTCAAGTTTTTTTTTCCACATTCTGCCTAAAAATGCCAGCTTTTCATGAACAGTTTGCCTTTATTTGAAACTACTGAATACAGAAGTACATGACTCGCAGCACTCTACAACTATGATTACAAAATGTTTTACATTAATTAAGAAGAAATACAGTAGTACAGGAAAAAAGAGACAAAACAAACTAAAAAGGTGATAAACACTGTTAAATGTTTGCTATTTAAACATGTGATAAGAGCCAAAAGCTTAAAGGAGAATTAAAAAGTCTGAGGATGAGATTTTAAACTCTGATGAAAATTAATAACCTGACCTCCCTTGGGGTTTCTGTAACTTGAAGCAAAATAAGAGTGAACACAAAACCTAACAGGTTGTTTAAACATTTGAACTAAGTGGAAAAACTGTTCATTCTGGAAATAATATCTCAACAAAAAGCACAACCAAGCAACAGCCACTTTAAGAACGGTGAAGTGTGTTAAGGCAGTTTTTCCCTTAAACTTCAAAATAAATTACACAGCTATCAGCTCACAGTCGCCACAGTTGTCTTCTTGAATCAGCATTCAAAAGGAAAGTTGACGAAACATCAAAGCTCTTCTTGTGAAGTTTTAAAATGTCCTGCCTTCATTAGACGAGCCTTCCACACAAATAACATGACAAGTCATGTAATCCTCCTGACAAATCAGTAAATCGCCCTGTTGTTTGCACCTTTGTGGTTGAATCCCACTGAGATGTGTCCCTCAGAGCCAGGGCTCGCTTTATTAACCAGTTTTGCCTTAATTAGCTAATAGGATTGTTTTAACCATGATCCAAGAACAGAATAGCCCACGGGAAGACAGACGCAAACTCTGTGGAAGTGTGTATATGTGTGCAAGTGCACACATATACACACTTCCACAGACTGAGTATGCAGCTGCATTTGTGTTAGTGATATAGTGCGTTTGTGCACAACTGCATAAATTGGTTGTTGCATGTGTGAAAAAGCTTCTGTCTCTGTAAGTTTCAGTGTGTTTGTATATGTGTGCTCGTGCACGTTTGTGTGCATGTGTCATCTAAGGCAGCGCAGTCTCTCGCTCTCTCTCTGCCTTAATTAACGTGCCTTCTTGCAAGACTTTCTCCAGAATATGAAACAATTTTACCTGATGATGCAAACGGCTGAAAATAGCGCCGGGTGAGTGCCTCGCCTCCTCACCTGACACTCTCTCTTTAAGCGAGTGCGTTAATGTATGCCTGCTCTACACTTGTAGTTTTCTATCTGTGTATTTTAGTGGCACTGCGATAGCCAAAAGGCTTATTTTGCTGCAGGAAATGTGTGTGTGTGTAAGCAAAATCCTTTGAAAAAGAGCAGGCTGTATAACAGCTTGCAATGATGTTCTTGCTACACAATTGTTCGCTTACACATCCATGCATGTACACACACACTTTTGCACAGAAGCCTCAGTTCAGACCAGGGAAAACCTTAAAAAGGAGGCAAAGAGACAAAACACAGAGGAATGAAAAATATACAAAATTCAAGCAATGGACTCTTGACCAGGTAAAAAGACAATAATAATAATGAACACTATATATGCATGGAGTTCATGTTTATTCCTGTAAGAGAAATTTCACTCAAACCGGGTTCATAGTAAAAACACATAATAAAAGAAACAATAAAAACACCCTATATTCAATAAAAGCACAAAACAAATTACCCAGCAACCTCCATATGGACAAACAGAAGTCAATAAGACCAGAGAGGGACTGTGTAGCTCGATACAGTGCAATAAAAATGCCAGCTCATGGCCAGGTCACAGTGAAAGGAACTAAAAAATTGATCCCGCTCTCTGTCCTTCTGTTGCAGTGTGGTGCGTTCGTTTCTCCCAAGAGCCCGCGGACCAGTCGGTGGTGCTGGGAGAACGGGTGGTGCTGTCCTGTGTCGTCTTCAACTACAGCGGCATCGTCCAGTGGACCAAGGACGGCCTGGCACTCGGCATTGGAGAGGGTCTTCGAGGTAAAAAAAAAAAAATGCAGCTTCACCCAGCTGCAGAGATCAAAGTGAAGAAGGGGAATAACTCAGCTACGGTTTTGGTTCAGTTTGGAGTGTAAGAACCCTGACAAAAGCTATTATGGTTGAAAAGTGTAGGGGTTTTTTAACATTAAGGGAATGAACACTGTACCATGCGAGAGAGAGTTAAGAGTGTGTGAGTGACAATCTGGGCAAAAAGGAGTCCTGTATATCATGCTGAATTAGAGAAAATCCCTCACACTGCTGACAAAAGCAGACGCACATTCACATTTACATTTTAAGCCGACACGCACATCCAGAATGACTTACTATGAGTGCAACAGTAGAATATACTTCCTTTTAAAGATGAGGAAACATCACAAGCAGCCAAAAGGGAGAGTCAAAGGGTCAAAGCCACAACAGACACCCAGGTTTTTTTTTCTGTATACGTGGAATAATCAGACGAAACTCAGAAATGCAAAATCAAAGAATGAGAGGCCAGGAGAAGAATAAGAAAAGCAAAAAATGTCATTCTCAGCTAACCTCATCTTGATTTTCTTCAAAATATGCAAACAAGCTTTTGACCGCTGTGGCTTACTGAATGCTACCATTGCTTATGAATAAGGCTGCTTATAGACCTCTGATCAGGATAACTTTCAGGTAAAATAAAAGGGAAGAAAATGAGCTGATAGGCTCACTGAAACAGAATTAAGAATGCGCAGCATATGAAGTATTCAGATTTAACATCCATATAACACATTAATCAGGTAACTACCATATCTTTTCACCGTCATCGGCTGTGCATTATTGATTTATACAAATGAAAGTGTTGGAAAGAAAGAGAACTATACAATTATACATAATATACAAACACATAAATAAAAATGCAAATAAGATGATTACTTTTACAAATGTGTATTTTTGAGAAGTATAGAAAAAAAAAACAGCATGTAGAAAAAAGAAACTAATGATTTCTAAAAAACCTCCATTCTAACTAACAGTCCATGAAAGCTCTTCTCCATCCACCCATATTCTTAACTGCTTACCCAATTCAAGTTATTGGAAATCAATTGTTTATTGTTTAAGGCTGCAGTTATACATCCCTACAAACCAATTGGTAACTGGCTTGAAATCACTAGCTACTCGTGAAAAATGATTTTTCCCTGGTCATTTGCTAGCAGTTACGGTGAAATTGATCGCTAAAACCCCCAGTCCCCAGACTACAGACCAGTCAGAGACTCCTTGGCAAACACAGGCAGCTTCGGAAAAACGTGTATTCCCAATCAGCTGGTCGTTGTGGAAAGTTGTTTTGCTGTCGATGGAAAAACATACCTGATAAACACGTGTTCGGTGCTGCACAAAAATCCTTTTGCCGCTATAGCAGATTGCTGTGATCACAGATAGTTTTTATGGAAAACGCTGACTGTGAAACCTCGCCAACTGCTCACTTAGCCATAATGAAATTGCGAAAGGTGTCTTCAAGGTAAAGTTGCACCTACTGAAATGCGTTAGCTTCAGCAGTAAGACAACTTTCAAGTGTCAAAAATTAAGAAATACCTTTGACACTTTCATAAGTTTAAAAAAAATATTCTGTGATTATGATTTTTGAGTTTCTCAAACTCACATGTTATGTTAAATGAATAGACTTTTGGGAGTATTGCAAATATACCCTTGCAGTGTAAAATATAATGTCTAAGCAGTCTGTAGTATTACTGATCTCTACTAGTTAGCCTGGAAGATGTACCAGACCGTACCAGCAGGTCTAAAGTGCTGTAGCTATGGTGATTGTGCATCCAAAATTTAAATGCAGGACGAGTGAAGGAGTCTGTGGAGAAGGACTTTCAGCTGATCCAGGGAAGTTCTGACAAACCTTCAGACTACTCAGCAAAAGGAAAGCAAGTCTTAGCCCAGGCTATGCTTAGCAGTAATCCACGCTGAGGATATTGTTTTGCTGTGGAAAGAGCACTTTCAGAAACTCTTGAATCCCACTAACACATCCTCTGTGGAGGAGGCAAAACTTCAGAGGTAGTGAAGGAGCTCTTAAATTCTCCACAAGAGTCTGAAAGCTCCGGACTTTGTTAAACCGTCTAGGCAAAGATGCATTTTCATGTCGCGTGGAGCTCGGGGACAGCGTCTGTACAACAGGATACCAGAATAAGGGAGTCAGGTAACTGCTCAGCATCCCTGGCTAAGCTCATATATGGTGCTCAAAGGGAGGTTCTGATTGGCTGTTGAACTCTGGACTAAGGATTAATCCTGCTTCACTCCTGCCATACCACGTTAGACTAACTCTTCATGCTGGAAAAGTTACTGAGGTGTGATGGAAAAATTGTTCTTCCAGTTTACATGTGTTTTATACATGTGTCAACTGAAGTATCAAGGGATCAGTATTTCACAAAAATGGTACCAGAGCACTTTGGTGGAAAGGGGTTTGAACTGGAAGGTGAAGCTTTCTATTAACCAGTCAGTCTTCTCACCTGGGGTCAAGTTTTGGGTAGTGACTGAAAGAATAAAGGCTGCTGAGGTTCTTAGATGCAATGTGAAATATTTTAAAATACCGAGGGGTCTCTGAGAGGACTTGGTTCTCCTTTGCGAAGGGATCGAGTTGAGCCGGTCCCGGGATCTTATCTAAATACCATTTTAGCAACTTTGACTGGATGCTTTCACAGCTGATTTTCCATCTGGTATGTGACCCTGTGATACAAAGGGTAGACCCAAGACAGATGATACAACTCGTCTGACCTGTGGACACATCCGAATCCTTCATTAGGGGTTGAAAAATGTTTTTAAGGAGAGAAACATTAGAATTTACCTGCTAAGCCTACAACCACCTTGATTCAACTCTGCATAATCCACAGAAAAAGGATAGATGGAAGAAAAACTAACTACACAGCTTTCATTCATTCTGCCTTTAAAGCTATTTTAAACAATTTATTGATAAATAGTTAGGAAAGCTTTTATTTATACATGAAAATGTTGCTTTTTTGCTGTAATGGGCAATTTCACGTTCTCACAAAATGTAAGAGAAAAACTTTTGCATTAGCACTTACAAACATCACATTAGCACTCACAGACTTTCAGCTCTAAACCACCCATCACATTTCTCATAACACTGTAAATTTATCCACAAAGAACGCTCGATGCTGTATAGCACGCAAAAAACACCACATACCCATCCACCCACACAGACACGCACACACCGCCCACACACACTGACACAAAACACACACATGCACACAGTCACACAAGTGATAATCTGACATGTGATGCGAATCTTGTGTTCAACTCAATTTAATTCACAGGTTCAGTAAAGGTCTGCACTTCTCTCTCGCCTCCTCTCGCTCGCTCTTTCTCCCTCACACTGCCTTTATTTCCTGCTCCTTCATCTTTAAAACTACAGCTTCACCATCACTCGCTGGCTTCCCAGATCCCCTCTATTGCTTTTTATTTCTTCACTCTCCTCTCTGTCGGTCCCATCGCCGTCCCTTCCTCCTCCCGCTCTCATTTTGTTGTTGGTAATGCTCTCTTTGTCCTTGTAGCCTTTTACAGCGTGGACCTGCTGACAAACACATTTGATAAACATGTTGTCCTCTTTGTCTCTTTTCCTGCTTCTCAACCATCTACCATCGCCTTCTGTCCATCTTTTATGCTTAGTCGTCGGCTGCCATTCTTCCCGCCGTGACATACGGCCACTCAGCCTTTTGCTCATCTCATAACCTGAACTTGAAGCCATGTCATGAAGTCTGCAAGTTGCAAACACTTGCACCAACAAATATTATTAATTCACTGGTGATCTATTAAGGTGCAGCTGTTTGATGTATGATGTATAAGTGGTTGTTATTATGCGCCCTGTATGATTACATACAGCTGTGGATGACAGTGTAGGCGTACAGATTGTGCAGTGCAATTCTCACCTGCAGTTAGCTCACCCACACATACGCAGGAGATCTGCGTTCATTCACAGACCAAAACAGCTTCTAGACATCACCTGGCTGCGCCTGTAAAATGTCAGATAAATAAAATTTAAATCCAGTTAATATATGATCGGTGTAAAGCCACCTACATGTGTGGATCATGTTTACGTAAATACCCAAAACACACATGCATCTTCTCACTACCTGCAGGCATAAGTGGTGGCAGTTTATTGTTCATCCTCAACCTCCTCCTCCTCTCCTCCTCCTCCTTCTTCTCCTTCTCCCCAGGGTGCTTTCACCTCTGTGGTTGCTATGCTGCGAGGTGCTGGAGTGGATGATGTAATCTCCACTAATACTTTTGTCCCCCTCCACCCAACCTCCTTCTTCCTCCTTGCACCCCAACTGCCTGCCTGCTTGCCTGCCTTTGCCATCTGAATCCATGATGTCATGTTAGGATTGGGCACGGAGGATCAATGAGTGCCCCCTAGTGGGATGTCACGCTCAATTATGTCTTTGTCTGCGAGTTGAGGGTTCAAAGAGAGAAAAAGAGGGTGCTGTAATTGGAACAGCGCCGTCCGTAATTCTGCAGGAATTGATGTGGCGTTATTGAATATGTGGCCACGTTTGATCAGCGTTAGTACAAAAACCATTTAGCTATTTATCGCTAACTGTGTTACTATACTGCCGTTACGCGTGTGTCCTCATGCATTCATTACCCCCCTTGTGTTGTTTGTGTAGAGGGCATATCATATCATTGTGATCTCCAGATGCTGTGGTTAATGAAAAAAGGGTCTTCAATAAATCATGTTATCTGTGTATTATGATAAAAAGCTTTGACACTTTCCCATAAATATGTGTCGCCTTGCTCTCTGTTCTCTGCCTGTGATGGATGTAAAACAATCGGGGTTCAGCATTTATCCATTTCAAAAGAGCTTTTACATTTGCTTTATCCTGTGAACAAATCAGGTCAGAGTCCTCTGTTGCACAGTTACACAAAGGACATAAATAATATTAAAAACTGAATGAAAGAAGATGGAGAAGAGGTTTTTGGGCTTTCGTTTTTGGTCTTTATATAAAAGGCATGACAAGTACCTCAAGGAACTACAGTTTAAATGGTTAATTCACCAATATTACTGAGAAACTGTGTTTTTTGTGACATATGTTCTGTTACAGACACACGCAGAGTTTTAATTTATAGTCATAAAGTTTAAGCTTTTGACTGCAACCCCCAGACAAAACAGAGGTGAATGACATTTGTCTACAGTCTACAAAACATCACCTAAAAAATTCAAGAGTGACATCTCTTTTCAGAAAATAAGAGACTAGATAGAAAGGCCTACTTTCTATCTAGGAATATTACTGAATTCAGATGAATGCCACCTTTAAATTAGCAACATTTCTTTTTATTATCTGTTACTTGTAGCACAGACTAAACTTTTTTAGGAATTTCAGATTTTGGATAGCTTAACAACAACTTTTAACATACAATTTTACAAGAAAGGGTAAATGTGACAAATACCAGCTTGTTTTCTTCTAAGTGACGTGGACAGGAAATCATCAGAGAGTATTTCTAAAAAATATATACTTTCCTCCTCAGAAACAGCAGATACAGATCATTCAGTGAATCCAGTATTGCTGTGATGACTCATGTCTGTAATTGAAGCATTTAATGTCTCTTCCTGCACTCCAACAATCATTTCAGAACAATCAGTCTTCCCTTCAAGTTGGCTCACTATGTATGTGACTCTAATAAAAACAGACTGAAGTAAATGAGTCACAGTGTGAATTATATGCTCTCTAACTGAAAGTTTGCTTGGTTTGTTTAACAGCGTGGCCCAGGTATCGTATCCTGCGTTCTCTCGACATCGGCCAGTACAACTTGGAGATCTCCAACGCCGAGCTTTCTGATGACTCTCTCTATGAGTGTCAGGCCACAGAGGCCGCCTTGCGCTCCAGGAGGGCTAAGCTCAATGTACTCAGTAAGTACCCTGCTGCTACTGATACATGGGTCTTCTCCTGATGCATTTTTCTGATTTTCCTCTAACTAGTTAAGTAATTATGCATTGAATCCTCTCAGTAAATCTTTGGGTTTCCTTTTTGCTTTCATTAAACCAACCTTGTCATAAGTTAATATAAATCTCCCACATCCTTAACATTTAAGTGGAAATTGCAGAAATTGTTCTTTCTACAAAGCCTCTGTTCCAGCTTGCTTTTGTTATAATCCCAAATGTGCTGTTTGAGAGTCTGTAGCTTTAAAAACAACTGAGCTGCCACTACCCAAACCCTTTCAGGAAGATGTCTGACAAAAAAAAAAATCTCAGTTCAGCTTGCACTAATACACAAAATATTGCATGAAAACAAATTAACCAACACATAGGTCTCACCTATTAGCTTCAAAATGTCCCTGCACTGTGCTGGTTTTTATAAACGCACAAGAATTCAAACTAAGAAAGACTTTTGCAGCTGTATATGCAACTTGCAGGTTAGGCAACCAGCATTTCTATTTTTTGCTTACCAAGATTTAGAAGGTTTGGTAAATGATAAAGTGAATAATTAGGAAAATAGGTGTTACTTACAATCACATAGTGCTGCCAATCTGATTGATAACCTGGGACATCTTAACCTTTGCCAACTACTTCACCCAATGTGTATATATTTTCTCTGACTCTGAGTGCTGTTAGTCCATTTAGATAGTTTTGGGGTAAATTGCCCATTTTTAGAGATATTGGCTATAGAGAAGTTGCTTTTCCTTAAATATAACCAAGCAAGGCAACAAACCAGTTAGAAGTTTTATGCAGGTCTAATTTTATTCTACCAAACTACATCCAATAACCATACCTCTGTGCAGAAGGTAGCGTGCATCTACTCGTGATGAGAAACTCATTCTAGTGACAGTGTGACAGGGTGTAAACATTAAAGACGACCTCCTTTAGCTGAGCTAGCTAGCTGCATCCTTCTTTTGGTGGGCGGATGCAGACAGAGGTAAGAAAATAGCTCCTATGAAACAGCTCACAACAAAATTGTGGATTTTTTATGAGTAACTGGGTCATGTTTTCTGGAGAGAGACATCGCTGCTGATTTTTAGTTTGTTTGCTTGTTTTTGGCACTTGGGTGAAGCTAGTATCTCCAGAATTGGGCAACTCAAACCATAAAAAAGCAGCAGATTAAACAGGAGAGGAAATGCATGAGGAAAATATGTAAATTTAGTAGAGGGTGAACAACTCCTTTAAACGGTTAGCTTAACCAAGAAGCTAATTGTGTTAAATAGGACATTAATATCTAAAAAAGAAACACATGAAAATCATGCCTCTAGTCTTTTCATATGTATGAAAGTTTTTTACAGTACTATGTGTTTTTATGGTTTACTATATGTATATGTAAAGTTTTTTTCTTTATTTATGTGTTCACACTTACATAAATGTGTCATTTTAAAATATGAATTTGTATATCACCCCTTCAGTCCCCCCTGAGGACCCAGTGGTCGAGGGATCCCCTGAGCTCTTGCTGATGGCTGGTACTTCACACAACCTGACCTGTGTGACTCGTGGGGCCAAGCCTGCGGCACACATCCAGTGGACCAAGAATGGCCTTCCTGTGGAGGGGGCCTACCACTCCACGGTGACTCATACACACCCATGCACACATGCAGATAATAGCAGCCACACGTGTGTGTGTGTGTGTGTTTTTCCAAGGGGAGTTTGTAAAGCTCCCATAAGGATGATTTTGATGATCATGAGTTCACTTGTCGCTGTAAGACTATGTAATACAAACTGTAGAACAATGCAATCTTTGTAATATAATCCACTCTGTCTGTTTATTTGTTTTTATGCTTTTTTTTTTTTTTTTTTGCTGGAGGCTTGTTATGACGGGTAAATACAGTATGCACACCTCGGGCCAGGCGGCTTCCCAGAAGTCCTCCAGTCAAGAAATAGTGTGCCAATCATTAGTATTTCACACAAAGCGCTCCTTACTGTTTAGTCAACAATACACTCACCATATTTATTAAGAAATGATTAATGGTTACAGATTTTAACCTACAAATCAACAGACAGAAACTTTCAATGGGCTTTTTTGGCTATAGTAGCAGCAATAAAGGTGCAGAAACATTACTGAAATGTCTTTGCTCAATCAAACTAAACTGTCTTTTTCCCCTCACACTGAGAAAGCCACAGTTACACCAAAGTTCTTACATTTTGAAATGAAAATTAAACCATGAAACTCACTAAGAGAGGACACGACAAACTTTCAGTCCTAAATTTCCTGCTCTTTGTCAGCTGTAGAGAGACATCAAAATGTGCAGTGTTAACACAGCATGCTGATGTTGCTGCTGAGCAGATGAAATTGTTAATGTGTAAAAAAAACAACTAATACTAGAACATCAAACTAAGAGCACATCACATTTCCCTCTTTGGGCTGCTATGCATTGCTTCATTCATCCATAGTGAGTCTTAGAAAATATCACAGACTCTATTTTTATGTGTTTTAACAATTCAGTTGATGCACTAAAGCGAGTTTGCAGGGGCAGCTAATTAAAATTAGTGGTTAAGTAGATGTACTTGTGGTATTTCATAATTTTTGCATTAGAAAAATACTGTCGCACTTGCACACCTACTCAACACATGTGTTTAATTACACTCTTACTTCAGTAGACTTTATATTGCGAGTGTCAGCCATGCCTTCTACCCGGAAGCACAGCACATGCTTTCCAGGCATCTCTTGCATTCCTCGCTTTACAGTCGTGACGCAACTTAAAAGACACAAAGATCCAAGACATGTTTTATTAACCCACTGCCAGAGATTTTCTTTTGTACACACATACAGGCAGGAAATGTATTTGGTGACACCTTGCACACAGTCGCAGTGTTACATTTCTTCCGTGTTCAGATTCCTCGCCATCCCGCATGTTCTCCTGTACACATGAAAGCAGGTCTGCAAGTGCACGCACGCATAGACACTCGCTCGCATATGCACACATGCGCTTTTATATGCACAGAGATGCAGCAGCAAACACTGACTCACGCACTCAAACACAGATGTTTTTACATCTCATCACAGCCAGCTTTATGCCCCCCACACATGCTCATACATATTACATGCTGCTCTTATATTACCCTGTTACTGACCACGCATTCAAACTACATTGAAAGCTGTACACAGTTTCTTGACAGATTTTGTGGCTGCGTTTTAAAAAATGCCACCTCCTCATTCCAAGAAAGCTGGATTTTATGTTCATGTTTGCCAGAAGAAGATTTATGGCGTCTCTTTTATGACTGCCACTAAGGACTGTTTACATTATTGATTCATCTATCAATTCTTTTCTCCTACATCTTTCTTTTCCTTCTTAACTTCACATACTTTATATTTTTTTCTATTTTTGTCCATGGATTTCTATTTATGTTCAGTTATTTCTCATCTCTCATTGCTCCATTAGTAACTCACCAGTGTCTCTTTCCTTCCCCCACCTGACTTTCTATCTTTATTTCTCCTTTTTTCATCCTTCCTCTCCTCTGTGTATCTTTTCTTTGATCT